CAGCCGCCCCAGCCGGCGCAGCCAGCACAGCACCCTCCGCGGCCTCCAGCCTCCCCCGATGAGCCGTCGGGAGCCGCGTCGTCGGTGGGCAGCAGCCGCCTGCCACTGAGTGCCTCGCTCGCTTTCTCCGACCTCACCGAGGAGATGCTGGACTGCGGCCCTGGTGGCTTCGTGCGAGAGCTGGAGGAGCTGCGCTCTGAAAACGACTATCTCAAGGTGGGGGTACTGGTGGAGAAGCGGGAGGCTGGGGAACGTGCCGGTTGTCAGAACTCCAAGGGTCTGAGCCACCAGCCAGCCCACTGTACCACCGAAGAGGCAGGAAAAGGGGTCTTGGGGACCACTCGGAGATTATTCTAGGGCTTTAGATGCCCCCCGCCCCATTTTATTTAGGAAGCCTTCTCCTGAGGAGGAAACTGGTCAAAGGACCCTGATTTGGGAAGGAGGGCTTGAGAAAACTGCTTTGGAGGATGCCTGCAGTCATAACTTGGCATGGAGGAGTGTGTGTGTGTGTGGGGGGGGGTGGGAGGGGGTGGGGGAGGGGTAACGGGGGTGTTGGGTAGTCAGTGAGGGCCTAGACCTGTACTTTCACTTGCTCAGAGCCCCCCTCCCCGCCCCCCCCATCACCAGGCCAGCCAGAGGCCAGGCCTTTGCTGACTGGCCTGTCTGGTGTGCCTGCCTGCCAGGGATCATTGTGGCCAACCCCTGCCAAGGAGAGGCCAGAACACCATTCTGAGTCTTTCCCCAGGGCTTTCCCCAGTGCAGGCCTATCCCTGCTCGCCATTCAGGGTGGGTCCTGTTTGAAAGCATGACATCTGGGAACATCCCCTTGGCTGCAGTCCGACTTCCGCTCAGTTTAACGGTCCCACAGCCTGGGAGGATGATGTTGTGGGAGAACTGGTTCAGAGTCAGCTTCCTCAGTCTCCGGATATTGTCTTCAGGCCTCCCTGGGACGGCCCCCAAACATTTAGTTGTCCGGTTGACCCCTCGTCGTCAGGGCCCATATTTTTCCATGTTTCCAATGAGAGATAGGGCATTCCTTTGGATATGTGGGGAACACTCCCCAGAGAACAGCCTTTGCCTTTACCCTTCCAGTGGACATGGACACCTACTAGGTGCAGGCCAGTCTCCATTTATCCACTCCCTGGGCCGTGGCAACTTTAGGGATAGACGAGCTCTCGTGTGCAGACATTGGCCTGAGAGACTGGAAGCTTTGTGGGCTCTTCCACCAAGACTGGGCATGGTGTTGGAGGAAGCTGAAAGGTTAGCTGCTCTTGTGAGCTGATGGTCTGGCACTACAGCAGACCCTGGGCTCAGACCCCAGGCGGAGGGCCGAAGTATTAACCGTGCTCTGATTTATATCTGCTGGCAACATCTGGCTTTGCGGGATGATTCTTCTCGTCAAGCGGGTTTCCCTCTTGTAGAATTTTTGGGTCTTGCTGGACTCTGTCTCCCTCTCCACATTTACCCCCAGGCTCTGCTATCCAGCATGTGTTCAATAGTAGTCTACCCCTTCAGCCTGTAATCTTCGTCAGGCCAGGCAATTTCTTCCAACTATTAAATGTGAGGCCTAGTCTCCCCAAATGCCCTGTTCAGTGTTGGCAGTTGGGGGTTCAGTCAGCTCCTAAAGTCTTCAGAAGGCTGTGGTGAGTAGACGGTGGGCAGAAGGAGAGAGACAAGCCAGAAAGCGACCAGCCCTGTCCTCTTGGTGCTTTGAGCTTGTGCTCCTTGCCTGAATTGCACTAAACTCAGACCCTGAGCTCCTCACTTCTGCTTCCTGGCCCCCACTGCCCATCCTGGCAAGGGAAGGCGAGCCACAGCTTTGCTTCAGAGTCTTCTCATTCTTCTACCCTAAGGGCTCCTGTCATCCTAGGAAGTCAGTGGCAGGGCCCAGGAGTCCATCTGAGTCACCATGACTGTTAAGATGGAAAACAGTTCCAGGGTCTTGCTGGGGACTTCCCACTGCCTGGGCCAGAGCTGAGCCTCATTTTCTGTCATTCATTCAGTATTTCAGGCTCCATGCTCAGGCTTCTCAGAGCTCTCCTGGATCTGGGATCTCTAGCTTCCTGGCTGTGTGATCTTGGGCAAGTTACTCGATGTCTCTGGAATTCAGTTTCCTCGTTAAAAGAGATATCACACATCTCCCAGCCTTACAGGGTAAATAAGATAGCACCCGGCTTGTTGTTAGCTCAGACGAGAGCAGCTGTGATCGCTGCTATTCTCAAGTGGTATGTGTCATATTTCCATAGGTGCCTGTCAGGTTCTCTATGGATCCTGTGTGGGTAGAATTGTTCCTCCTTCCCACCTGAAAGAGGCCCAGCTCTCTCCTGACCCCTCACTCATTCATTCACAACTATTTAGCCCCTACAGTGTGCCAGGCACTAGCACAAATAGGGATACTGCTGTGTACAAGGATGAAGTGTCTGATTTCATTGGCCTTGGGTCTAGTGGAAGAGAGGGATTAAGCAGTAGTTGGACAATAAATGACAATATAGCTCATGATGAAGATGGAGAAAGACGAGCACCTGGAGGTGCGACTGGGGGGCTCAGGGAGGCCAAAGGCTGACAGAGGAGCTGGAAGCAGCTGAATAAGGAGCCGGAGTAACAGCATCCTCAATAGGGAAGCAGGGGAAAAAAAGCTTATGATTTTGAGGACCCGCACAGAGGCTAGAGAGGGAAAGGAGATTGCATAGGAAAGCGAGTAGGGCAAGATTGTGCATTTCTCACTGTGTTACCTTGGGTCTGTCCCTGAACCTCTCTGGAGCTTTGTTGAACCTGGGTGGCTATGAACGTGGACCACAGATGTAGGGACTACTCCAGGAGGTGTTAGTTTACTTATCCTACAGATGCATAGACTGTGGCCTGTGCAGGGAAGGGACTCACTCCAGGTCCCAGAGCCATTTCTCCTAGGCAGCCAGGGCTTGCAGTGAGAGTGATTATACTCTTGACGTGTTTCCTGCCCCAGGGGCCACGTTGCTTCTCAGGTGCAGAACCTGAGTTACCTGGAGAAGAACTGCAGATCCCCAGTGTCTCCCACCTCCTACTGCCTAGGTGGAGGGGAGTCCACTGAGTGGGAGGGAGCGTTGTGGGGGCTCCCCTCCCAACTGGCGGGAAGTGCTGGGAGCTGTTAGCTGCAGAAGGCCTGGTGGGGGTGGCAGGTCTCCTGTTGCCTGAGGCATGGTCTGGGCCCCTCTTAGAGAAAGTGTAAACAGGGCAACTCTCCTAGTGAGAAGACAGAAGGGAATGAGCTCCCTGTAGTTTGAGTTATTCAGTGAAGCTGGATGACCTGGCATGTTTGGCATGTTTCCACATAGGGTTTGTGGAAAGTAGTTTGCAAGCTGTTGGAAACAACAGTGATTGTGATTACTCAAGAAGACTTCAGAAGGGAGACTTATGTGATGGCTACAGTTGAACATCTTGACCTCGGGGTCCCTCCCAGTGAGGGTTAACTTTCAGGGTTCTGAGATGCAGAACAGAACTGAGACCTTCAAAGTCCTGGTGGCCTGACAGCTTCCAGCTCCCACTCATTCCTGTTGCTCACTTACTGTGTGTTGGCTCAGGACATTGTGTGACCCTGTTAGGTATGGATGGAAGAAGCCGAGAGTTGGAATCCAATTCTTTGAGAACTGACTCCACCATTTGCTGTGTGGCATGGGCAAGACACTTGATTTCTCTGAGCTGCTTTCCCCACCTCTGAATAATGAAATAATGTTTCCCATTCTGTATGATGAAGAGGATGGGCCTGTCTGGGCAACATCATAGGATTGTTTCCAGGGACCAGGGAGATATGAACAGACAAGAAAATACTGCAAGCAGTGAAGCCCCACATCTCTGGGGGAATTGTTATCATTGCTATCCAGTGAGTCGACAGGATGTCTGTGTCTTCACTCTTGGGGGAACTGGGAGCAGCCAGGAGGGTGGATACCCTTAGATTTCGAATGTTAATAAATCAGGAGCTGCTCCTCAGAGGACAAGATAGAGTGATCTGGCTCTGTGAAGCAAGGTGCCTACAGCTTCTGGGAGGTTCTAGATATAAGTATTTGAAGTACAGTCAATCCTGATGTCAGTGCATAAGAGCCCCAGGAGAAGGATCTAATCCACCCCTTCCTCCTATCCCATTATGCATTTGAGTAAATGGAGGGTACTGGTCACATAGCCAGTACCCCAAACTCAGTTGGTCCAACTCTGGGTTCCATTCTTTTTTTTTTTTTTTTTAAAGATTTATTTACTTATGCATATAAGAACAGGGGTACAGGCCAGAGATTGGGGGTGGGGGGAAGAGTGAGAGGATTCACCAGAGTGGGGAACAGAAAAGGCAGATTGACTGAACTACACTGCAGAGGGACCTCTCTGGTGATACAACAGGTTAAAGCATCGCACTATGAAGCCACTGCAGCTACTGCAGCACGAGTTTGATCTTGGGCCGGGGAGCTGACCCACATGGCGCAGCAGACCTCCTGACCCGCCCACTGCTCCCCTCAGCGTATTTCAGTACATCTGCCTGTTGTGCTCCCTGCTCTATCTCTGGTGAATCCTTTCACCCGCCACCCCCCCCACCTCTGTCCTGTATTCCAATTCTGTATGCATAAATAAACAAATATTTTAAAAAAAGATTTATTTATTTATGCATATAGAATTGGGGTACAGGCCAGAGGTGCAGGGGCAGTGAGAGGATTCACTAGAGTCACAGTGGGAAGCAGCACAGGCAGACTGATGATGTACACCACTGAAGGGAGCAGTGGGTCAGACAGGAGAGGTCTGCTGCACCATGTGGGTCAACTCTGGGGCTGGGATCGAACTTGCACTGAAGTGGCAGCAGCTAGCTTGCAGTGCTGCATCCTAACCTGCTGACCTGCTGTGCCACCAGGGAGGGCCTTTTTTTTTTTTTTTTTTTTTTTATTTAAAAAAATACACTGTTAAGGGGAGCAGTGGGCAAGACAGGAGAGGTCTGCTGTGCCATGTGGTCAGCTCCCTGGCTGGTTGGGGATCAAACTTGTGCTGCAGTCGCTGTGGAGAGCGTCCTATTGCTGTGCATTAACCTGTTGCGCCACCATTGCTATGATTGGAGCAATGAGCTTTTGGTTGCTCACAGTATGTCTAGTAAGGGACACAGATCAGTGAGAAGAGTCTTGTGCACCAGGCTCTAGACAAAGAGTTGTTGGGAACAAGTATAGAATAATTTATGTCACAGCCTGAGCCTGCAGGCAGAGCCGGGGTGT